TGCGTGATCTCACAATCCACCTTCTTAGGAAACCTAGCATTCTAGATGGCACACGGTCCAGTGTCTAACTCTGATATCATTTGTAACGCTCTAAGCCCACTACTAGCAGATATTTTCTGCTTTGACTTGTTACTTATCGTCGTCAGCTTCATGGTTTTAAACACATACATTAGGGAAAGGTTTTCACACCCTTATAGAAAATGTTTCATTTCCTTCTCCAACTGATGTGAGATCTCACGATCCACGAGGGCCCATCATCTGCGCTGGCACACTATCCGATCTACTTTGACTCGTTACTTATCATCGTCAGTCTCATGGTTTTAAAATGTATCAATTAGGGAGAGGTTTCCATACCTTTATAAGCAATGTTTTGTTCCCTTTCCAACCTCGTTCAATCCCACCAAGAATCATTTGAAGGTAAATTTGATTTCTCGTTAGATTTGATTTTGTAATTCGTTTTGTTTAGTCGAGGGTTAGAGTTCTTAGACTTGACGTTTGATACCATCATTGTGGTTCCTCATGGGTATGTGTAGGCTAGTGTGGAGAGGTGGTGATGTCATAGTTGAGGAAGTAAGAGTTTGTTATTGTTGGATGATGAAAGTCTCACATCTGCTAATTTAGGGAATGATTATGAGTTTATAATCGAAGAATATTCTTCATTGGTATGAGGCCTTTTAGGAACGCCAAAGCATAGCCATGAGAGCTTATGCTCAAAATGGACAATATCATACTATGGTGAAGAGTCGTGTTCAATCTCGTAGTTTATGAGAGAGATACAGTCTGCACCATGCAGCATACAGCATGCAGCATGCAGCATTACCAAAAGCCACTGTTCTTACCAAAAGCCACTGTCCTTAAAAGACAAACAAACTTGTAATCTTGAAAGTTGTACAAATTTGGATGATTTCCCTTCCACGCGTCCTTCTCCCTCCATGCAACGTGCTCTTCCCTTCCCCATGCCACAACCTCTTCGTTCTTCTCTCCAACTTATACAATTCCACGTGCCCATCTTCAATCACGTTCGGGAGTGGACGACCAACCTCACCACTACCAAATATTGTCCTTTTTGAGCTTTCTCTTTCGAGCTTCACCTCAAAATTTTTAAAACGCGTCTATTAGGGAGAGGTTTCTACACCCTTATAAAGAGTGATTCGATATAGGATCTCACAATCCACTCTTCTTCAGGGCTCAGCGTTGTCGTTGACACTCGTTTCTCTCTCAAATCGATGTGGGCCTCACCACTACCAGATATTGTCCCCTTTGAGGTTTCTCTTTCGAGGTTCCCCTCAAAATTTTTAAAACGCCTGTTAAGGAGAGGTTTCCACATCCTTATAAAGGGTGATTCGATGTAGGATCTCACAATCCACTCTCCTTCAGGGCTTAGCGTTCTCGCTGGCACTCGTTCCTCACTCAAATCGATGTGGGATCTCATAATTCACCCTCCTACAAGACCCAGCGTCCTCGTTGACACTCGTTTCTCTCTCCAATCGATATGAAGTCTCACAGATCATATCTCTATAATGGATAATATTATTCGATCTGAACCTTTTTTTTTTTTTTTTTTGTTTTATACATGATGGGAGAGTTTTGTTAGTATTTTTGTCACTGCATTGAGAAGTTATTAACAATAGAGTATTTTTAGGAGAAGTTATTAATCTTGGAGCATCCATATTTAAGAGGAGAATTATTAGTGATTTTGCTTCTTTAAATAGTCATAAGTTGCAGGTTCTATTTAAACAACTCTTTGGTACAAAATGAATTTTGTGTTATTCATTCGTTGGGTTTGGATCGAGATCCAAAATTAATGCAATCACATTTGAGATAGTTAAAAAATCTCTATAACAGTACGATATTATTCAAATGGTTGTTGGAGAGTCAGACAATATAAGGATGAGCAGTTAAAAGTGGAGCCATATGCACCAAAATTTATGGAGAGAGGAGGATGGTCAATGGCACAAGGGAAGGAGGTAAGAGGGTGAGGGGGATCACATGGAATAGGCCACTTGTGAGGCCTCAATTGGCTGGATGGTTACTGCAGCTCATGGCCTTGGCTTGCGCTCATTGCTTATGCCATTGATGCACCCTGTGCTCCCCTTACGGCCCTCGCTTTTACATTAAATTTTGGCAGGTGAGGTCCCTTGCATGCAACATGCAATGGACAATACCCCGTCGGTGGGCTCAACTACCACTGTTTCTTCCATTCAATGACTATTCCATCCAACCAATTCATTTAGAAAGAGAAACAAAAATGGATGATTCCAAGAGTGAGATTCCGATATCTCACGTCGGTTGGAAAGGAGAACAAAGTATTCATTATAAACGTGTAGAAACTTTTCTTTAGCAAACGTGTTTTAAAAGCATTGAGGGAAAAATCGAAAGAGAAAGCCCAAAATGGACAATATTTACTAGTAATGGACTTGAGTTGTTACAAATGATATCAGAGCCAGACATGGGAGGCTGTGTCCTGAGTCTCGAAGGGGTGTGGATTGAGGGTCCACATCGATTGGAAAAGGGAACAAGTGTCAGTGAGAATGTTGGGTCCCGAAAGGGTGTGAATTTTGAGATCACACATCAGTTGAGGAGGAGAACAAATCTTTTTTGTAAGAGTGTGGAAACCTCTCTCTAGCATACGCGTCTTAAAAACCTTGAGTGGAAACTCAAAAGAGAAAACTTAAAGATGACAATATCTGCTAGTGATGGGCTTGTGTTGTTACAAATGATATCAGAGCTAGACACTAGGTGATGTGCCAACGATGTGACTGAGTCCTGAGTCTCGAATGCGGGTGGATTGGGGGTCTCATATCGATTAGGGAAGGGAATGAGTGTCACCAAGGACGCTGGCCTTGAAACACTCTTTGTATGGGTGTGGATTCCAAGAACTCAATCAAAAGTGTGAGATCCAACGTCGGTTAGAAAGAAAAACAAAGTATTATTTATAAGGGTGTGGAAACTTTTCACTACCAGACACGTTTTAAAAATATTGAGATGAGAAATCTATTAGCGGTGGGCTTGAGCTGTTACAAATGATATCAGACTCAGACATTGGGTGATGTGTCAGCGAAGAGGGGTGAATTGTGAGATCCAACATCGGTTGGGGAGGAGAACAAAGCCTTCTTATAAGAGTGAGGAAACCTCTTTCTAACATATGCGTTTTAAAAACCTTAAAGGAAAGCCCGAAAGTTGCCATTACATTTGTCAACTAACTTCGAGCTATATAAACCTATTCCTTGAATTAAATTTAAGCTCGATCGAGGAGTATCACGGGGTGTAGCTCGCTCTTTTCTTTTTTGTTCTTTGGAATCGAAAAAAAAGGTGTCAAAATAGAAGGTAGAAGGGGACATGGATCCACATTTAGAGGCCTACTTTATAGAAATAGTACACAAATCATAGGGATTGCAATCAATAAGGGGAGCTACTTGTTGTTTGTCCTAACACCTAACTTACATTTACTTCACTTCAAACCAACCAACATATAAACACTCAATTTTTCCCATTTTAATGGCATCGTTTGTACTCGCTTACGTTTACATAAATTTGTTTATTTTAAGGAAGATTTTCGAGATAGATATCTAGACAAGTAAATATGTGTAGTATGATCATCTTGTGTGCATAAAAAAGAAATGTCCCTTTGTTTTTGCTTGAAATCTTTTGAACGTTCATAAAGAAAACTGAGCTTTCATTAAGAAGAAACGAAAGAATATAATAGGGCATGGTGGAAGCATAGGCCGACATCACGGGTCAATAAAAAAGGGCCTACAAAATGAGGACCATATGTATCGATTGTATTAATATTGCATATAAAAAATTTAAAGTTGATTTTGATCCCGAAAAGATGTAGATGTATGCTCAAAAATTGAAAAAAAGGGGAAAAAGAAAGGAAGCTCGAAGTAATTAAACCTCTTCGAGCTATTTCGAGCTATTTTGATTGTGGTTCTAAATTATAGTTGCGAACTAAATAATGAGAAAAATATATATTTAATTTGAAGCGGTGAAATTAATATTAAATATAAAAAAGAAAATACATTTTATAATATTTAAATATATTATTTTTCAAGTAAAAAGGTTTTTTTTTTTTTTTTTTTTTTTTTTTTTTTTTTTTTTTTTTTTTTTTTTTTTTTTAAGTTTTATTTAACTCTAAATAAAATTAAAGTCAGTTATGACGTTCCTAATATGTGAATAAAACGTTCATTCCCAATAAAGAAGTCAAACTACACAATGGGCGTGATTCGTCTACTGCCTTGAGTCGACTACGTGTAGCAAATGGTGGAGGTGTTGGACGAACGAAGGCGTTAACCGATTTCGGTCGTGCTTGTGATCTGGGCTACGTCGTTCTGTGGGCTTAGGCTGGTGGCTACCTGCATGTGTGGTTGGCTTGGACGTTTGGTCACACTTCACATGAGTTGTGGAGCATCACTAGGTGCTGGTAGGTTGGGTTAGTCTCGACTAGACTGTTCTTGTTCGTCTATTCAAGAACTTCTTCGAGGTGTTCATATCTTAGTTTGAATGTCTAACCCATGGTAGCTCCCTTAGAAATTTACACAACCCTTTATAGGTTTGGGCTTTTGGGTCGAATTATTCTTGGGCTAATTTTATATTTAGCCCACACGCGATATTATTTGTAATTTCTCAAAGGTTTATGGAACACATGCCAACTTATAATTAACGTAACTGTCCAAGTCCAAATAAGGGATCTGTGTCGTAATAGTAGTACATCTAACTCTGATTAGGTGTTTGATCTACGTTAGGCATTGATAAACATCTCTCCCTTTATTATATATATATATGTTCTAATACAATAAATGCTTGTTATAAATTACAAGTTTAATATAACAAAAATTAAATATTTGGTTAAAACGTAATAAGAGCTTATATATGATCGAACGATGCATTAATAAACATCTCTCCCTTTATTATATGGTAGTAAAATATTGGAAGTAATATATATATATATATATATATATATATATATATATATATATATATATATATATATATATGTTCCCCATAAAAAAGGATGGTACTCAAATCATGTTTGGGCCACTGCCTATGTTGTCTGAGAAAATTTTCCAATTATCTTTAGCATCAATACTGCTCTCCAATAAGGTATATATAACAGCCTGCATGAAATTATTACTTAATTAGTGGCCTTTTTTAAAAAATTATTATGGATAATAAGAAAAATATAAGGCTAAAATTGTCATTTTACTTATCAAATATACTTTTTAAATTTATTACACATTTATTAAAAAATTTAATATTTTAATTAGTTGTTATAATAACTAATAATAAAAGGTTAAAATTGTCATTTTACTTATGAAATATACTTCGGGTATTATTGTATTAGAATTTATTAGACATTTATTAAAAAACTAATGGAAAAGGCTATAATTGTCCTTTCACTTATGAAATATACTTTTTAAATTTTCAATTTTATTCATAATGGAAAATATTAGATATTTATTAAAAAATTTAATCGGGTTAAATTTAAAGGTTAAACTTGTAATTTATTATATTTTAATTAGTAGTTGTAATAATGAAAAATAAAAAGTTAAAATTGTCATTTTATTTATGAAATATACGGGTTATTATTCGTATTAGAATCTATTAGACATTTATTAAAAAATTTCAAACGGCACAATTTTAAAAATTTAAGGTTTGAACTTGTAATTTAACTGTTTTTTTTAATAAATTTATTATAGAAAGAATAGAAAGAAGAAAATGAGAAGGCTATAATTGTCAATTTCACGTATGAAATATAGTTTTAAAATTTTAAATTTTATTCTTAATGGAAAATATTAGATATTTATTAAAAAAATTCAAAAGGTTAAACTTGTAATTTTGCTATAATAACGAAAAATAAAAGGTTAAAATTGTCATTTTACTTATCAAATATACCTTTTAAACTTTTAGTATTATTCTTACTAGAATTTATTAGACATTTATTAAAAAAATTGGAACTCAGTCAAACACACCACTTTAAAAATTTAAGGTTTGAATTTGTAATTTATAAATTTATGATAGAAGTAAGAAAATGAGAAGACTATAATTGTCATTTCACTTGTGGAATATATTTTTAAAATTTTAAATTTTATTATTAATGGAAAATATTAGATATTTATTAAAAAAAATTCAAAAAGTTAAAGTTGTAATTTATTGCTATAATAACAAAATAAATAAATAAATAAATAAAAGGTTAAAAGGGTCATTTTAGTTCAAATCTATTAGACATTTATTAAAAAAATTCAAACCAATTTAAACACAACTTTAAAAATTTAAAGTTTGAACTTATAATTTAACATTTTTTATAAATTTATTATAGAAAAAAAAAAATATATGAGAAGCCTATAATGGTCATTTCAAAAATAGTCTATTTAAAATTTCAATTTTATTCTTAAAAAAAAAATTATAATTTATTAAAAAAATTAAAGGTTAAACTTGGATTTTCTTACCCAGACCTATTTTAATTTTTTTTTTTTTATGTTTATTTTGTTCTCTTTATAATTTTTTTATTTTTATTTTTACAATTATGAGATTAAATAAATTTCTTGCCAAAAGTTTATTTTAACCTATTTTTATTACTACAATTAAAGTTTTATAAATAAAGATTAAATGATAGTTTGAAAATAAAAAATATATTGACCTAAAAAAGATATTTTAAAATAAGAAACTTCAAAATCAAAATATTATTTAAATAGAAACAAAAATTAATTAAGATCAAATAACTTACCCTATAAAGGATACGTTTTATGTCACTTGGCTTAGCCTTCCACGCTTCTATGTCGTTTAGATAGAGCATAGCATCACTCAAGCTTTTTCTTTGTCCCTATATTAAAATAATAATATTTTTAAATTTAAAATAAGTAGTCTCGAACACATTTTGATTTATTTTATTAAGCTTCTTTTCATCACTAAGTCAACTCGATATATATATATATAGATTTTCAATAAAAATATTATTATAAGTTACATTTTTTTTTTAAGTATTTAAAATATTTTTTATTGTTATATTAATGATAAATTTATTATTTATTATTTTTTTTACTTTTTTTATGAATATTTTCTCAAAACCCACTTTTGTCATCTAAATGAACAAATAAATAAATAAAACTATTATAAATTAACATTAAATTATTGATTTTTTTTTTTTTTCAAAGAGTGTTTATACAAAATCATTTGAAAAATAAAGCATTTCTTTCCCAATTATAACAAACACATTATTTATGGAATAAATTATATATTAGTCCTTATAAAGGTGAGTGAAAAATTGTTGGGTTGAGTTAGATTTTTTTTTTTTTTTTTTTTTTTTTTTTTTTTTTTTTTTTTTTTTTTTTTTTTTTTTTTTTTTTTTTTTTGGCTTGACTTTCTTTGAGGCCGTGCATCCTTACTAGTACACTATTCGATGTTCATCCTCTACGTGGCTCAACGTCCTTGCTGCACATTGTCTGATGTTCACTTCTTATGTGTCTCAATGTCCTCGCTAACACACTGTCTGATGTCCACTCCCTATGTAGCACAATGTCCTCGCTGACACACTACCTGATGTCCACCCCCCACGTGGCTCAACGTCCATGCTGGCACACTGCCCGGTGTTCACCCCCTACGGAGCTTAGCGTCCTCACTAGTACACCGCTTAGTGTCCACCCCTTTTAGGGCTCAATGGTAGTGTTCACTCCTTTCGAGGCTCAATGTCCTCGCTAGTACACCGCTCGTTGTCCACCCCCTACGAGCCTTAGAATCTTCACTGGCACACTGCCTGGTGTCCATTCCCTACGAGCCTTAGCATCCTCGCTGGCACACCGCCTGGTGTCCACCCCCTTCGAGGCTCAATGTCCTTGTTGGCACACCGCCTAGTGTCCACCCCCAATGAAGCTCAGCATCCTTGCTGGCACACTGCTTAGTGTCCACCTTCCTAAGGGGCTTAACGTCCTCGCTAGCACACTACCCAGTGTCCACTCTCTCAAGGGGCTCAGCGTCCTCGCTGGCACATCGTAGCGGTGTCCACCCCCCTCCGGGGCTCAATGGCAGTGTCTACCCTCCTCTGAGGCTCAACATCCTCATTGGCACACCGCCTGGTGTCTTCCCCTCTACAAGGCTCAGCGTCCTCATTGACACATCACCAAGTGTCTAGCTCTGATACCATTTGTAAGAGTCCAAGCCCACCGCTACCAAATATTTTTCCTCTCTAGGCTTTTCCTTTTGGGTTTCCCCTCAAAACTTTTAAAACGCGTTTCCTAGATAGAAGTTTTCACACCCTTACAAATAATGCACTCATTCTCCTCTCCAATCGACCTTTGGCTCTCATAATTAAATTTTCGAAAAACCAAAAATTCAAATTTTAGTTCAATCCGACCAACTCAAAAACAGAATAACAACAAAATTCAACTTGAAATCCAATTCTAAATTACTTTTAAAAACAATCGATAAATGTTCAATAATTAAACTAATTATCAACCTAATAGGTATCTATAAGTGAAATTCCTAAATAATTTTAACCCGACTAACCCAACCCAATCTAGCTCATGTATACCCCGGAGAAAATACCGTGTGGATGAGAATTGCAACCATTGCCAAGGTAGCTTCATATTTAATCTCAACTTTGTCATTTTTGTATTTTTGGAGCACCTTCTTCATTATCCTCTCAGCCTCTGCAGGATTATTAGCCAACAATGCCTGTAAAGCTTTTCTCTGCCACAAACAATAAACCCTCAAACTTACAATCAAACCTAAACATAGTTGAAAGTATAAACTAAAGCCCACCTTCTGAGCACTTATGTCTTTGGTTTCGAACTCCGCCGCCGCATCCAAAGAGAAGCACAGCAGCGACTGCATAGCCACTTTGGTGTTTAAAAAAGGAAACCCATCGTTCTGAGAACCGGACGACTCCATTCGGTTATATCTGTGACACACTATTTTGATGCCATTATTACTACACCTCCGAGCGTCGTGCTTGTTAACGGTCTCGTTGGGGACGAGGTGAACGGAAGAAGACATGTTGCGTCGGAACGACAACGGGAGTGGCAGTGTTGGGGCGATTCCACGGTGGAGGAGGGCGGTGGAGTTCATGACGGTGGGTGGTGGTTGGTTGGATTGAAATTTGAAGGCATGAGGAAAAGGGAAGAGGCTTTAATTTAAATAGAGGGAAAAGGAAGAGAATACTTGTGTATTATTAGAAAAGAAAGTAAGGGAGTATTTTACTTGAAACATGAGTAAAAGTTGCTGTGCTATGATTTGCAAGGCATCACGATTCGTTTTTCATTTCCTATATTGTATGAAGCACTTAAAATAAAAAAAGTGAATACTTTTCTTTTTTCTTTTTCTTTTGAATTTCTCGGGTTTAGAGGTGTACACGGGTTGTGTGATATCCCACGTTGGTTGGGGAGTAGGGTGCGAAAGCATTTCTATAGCAGACGCGTTTTAAAGTCTTGAGTGTAGGGGAAATTCGAAAGGGAAAGCCTAAAGAGAACAATATCTGTTAAGTGGGTCAGGGTCGTAACAGGTTGGGTTGGAAAAATCTTTTTAATTAACCCAAAATCTCGAGTTGGTTGGGTTGATGATCCAATCAACAACCTGAATGAAGTTTACAACCCAACCCAACCCAACCCACTTGGGTTAGGTTGAGTTGGGTTGTTGAGGTACGGGTCGTAACAGGTTGGGTTGGAAAAATCTTTTGAATTAACCCAAAATCTCGAGTTGGTTAGGTTGATGATCCAATCAACAACCTGAATGAAGTTTACAACCCAACCCAACCCAACCCACTTGGGTTAGGTTGAGTTGGGTTGTTGAGGTACGTTAAATATTCTTAATCTTCACAATAATTTTAAAAGTAAAATAGGGTTGGATTGAGTTGTAAAATACCCTATTTTCAGGATCCATCCCTCGGGTAAGGTTGGATTCAACCCTCAGGTTAGGTTGAGTTGTGTTGTAATACTCTATTTTCAAGACCCAACACTCGGGTTAGGTTGAGTTGTGTTGTAATACCCTATTTTCAAGACCCAAACCCTCGGGTTAGGTTGAGTTGTGTTGTAATACCCTATTTTCAAGGCCCAACTAGGTTGAGTTGTGAAATACCCTATTTTCAGGACCCAACCCTCAGGTTAGGTTGGATTCAACCCTCGGGTTAGGTTGAGTTGTAAAATACCCTATTTTCAGGACCCAACCCTCGAGTTAGGTTGAGTTGTGTTGTAATACCCTATTTTCAGGACCCAACACTCGAGTTAGATTGAGTTGTAAAATACCCTATTTTCAGGACTCAACACTCGGGTTAGGTTGAGTTGTAAAATACCCTATTTTTAGGATCCAACCCTCGGTTAGGTTGAGTTGTGTTGTAATAATCTTAAAAGTAAAATAGGGCTCTATTTTCAGGTTAATTAGGTTGACTTAATAAAAAAAATGTTAAATACATGAACGGAACCAATCCAAAGTTTCGAATTTCCAAAAATTCAACACAATCCCATCGAAAAAATCTAGCCCAACTCAATCTTTATAGTTTTGGTTGAGTTGTTGGATTGAGCTAGGTTGAGTTGGGTTGAGTTCAACACAATCTTATCGAAGAAAATCTAACCCAACTCAATCTTTATAGTTTTGGTTGAGTTCTCAGATTGGTCAAGTTATCGAATTATATGAACACTCCTAATTTTTTTCGTTATTAACATTTTATACTTGAATGTATCGTGTACTTTTTAAAAAATAAATAAATTCAACATAAATTCACAATGTTACGTAACAATGCAAGGTATAAGTTTTGTGCTTTTCGTTTTGCATGGCATGAGAGATCTTTGTCAAGTGGTCCATGTCTTGGAAACGTAAAGTCATGATAATACTTTAAACAACAAAAACAAATATGCCTCGTGACATTAACCTTTTATGTACTTCAAATTTATTCTATTTTTGATATAATCCTCATTTAAAGTTAATTTTTTAACAACTAAAATTAATAATAAATTTATTACTACAACTTATTTTAACATTTATTAAAAATACCCCAACTAAAATTAGAAATTTAACCTTTTCTCCTTTGTTGATTTTTGGTAGCGTGAGCTTCTTGTAGCCCATAGTTAGGTCGAGAAGGTACGTTAATGAACCCGCCTAGTGGGTTCATGCGCATTTGTGTGAACCGTGAGTAGATAAGTACTATACATCTAATCCTACCCAAAAAAGACAGAAAAGTCCAAGGAACAATCACGAGAATTAGGTCCTACCAATTATGATACATGTCGTATGTGGTTGTATTCTTCGACCCCAACAATCGGATCAGTTACAAAATATTTTTAAAACTCCTCATGTTTAACATTTGTTTAGGTAAAAGTGAATGCCCATGTATAGATGATAACGACCTTAGCTAGAGAGGTCATGTAATAGAGTCATTAATAGTCAGATACGGTATTTCTATTATAGTCTCATTATTAGGATAATTTAGTAGTATTTTTAATTTTTCGTGCATGCAGCCTTGACATGCATGTAGTAACAGTTTTATTTTTTAAAATTACCAAGGTCGATACTATTGTACACTTCATCATATCAATTCTCATGGATAATCCTCGGGTCCAAAGATATAAATTAAAGTAGGTTTATCACTTATATCAATGAAAGTCTCACGTGAAAATTTATTTTTTTGAGTTCTACGTAGGAAAGATTCAAACTTTTGACTCTTTAATTAAAAAATTTACGTCTTAATCAATGTAGCTATATATGCATTTGTAATACCCGAGCCTCGATAAGAGATTAAACACTCAACTTTTCTTTTAAAGTTCGAACTTACAAGTTTTCATTAAGAAATATAAATGAAAATAGCAAACAATTAAAAAATGGTTAATGTCAACCCATAGGTATTTTGGTCATTTTTTCCCTCGTCTTATTAAGCACGTGCAGATAGGTTAATTGAGAGTTTAGGGAAAAAATAAGGAAAGGAAAACAAAAGAAAAGAAAAAGAGAGAGAGAGAAAAGGAATGTATCCCTGTTCCAACTCCAATTTCAACCACGAGGAGTTCGATTTCGACTGAGGTCATTCATAGAATTTGCTTAGAAGCCTTGGGAGAAGTAATTTAGACTATATGTTTTCGAGATTTATTTCGGGGTTTCTCTAAATTTGTAACATTTGTAAGGAATTAGGTTCTAAGATTTGTTTATGTTGATCTTGTTGAAATATTATCACTAACTCAATAAGATTAAGCACAGTTTACTCTATTTAGGTTAAGAAAATGATTTAGGATTTTAGAATAAATTTAGGAAAATAATTTAGAGATTTTAGGAAAACGTTGAGAAATTTTAGGAATACATTGCCTACCATATGGTATAAATACTTCTCCACCCTACTGAGTTCATCACCCAAGAAATCCCAAGAAATACGGAGCAGTAGTATTCTGCAGAGTGTCTTGTAATCTCTTCTCGATTGGTCATAATAAAAAGTGCGAGTGTTTCCCACATAAAGTTGTGTTCAATAATCTGGTATTAGAGCGAGGTTAGTGTAGGTTATCTGATCTCTTGGAATTCTTAGTATGTTTTGTGGTTGCAGCTCTGTCTGATCTTCCACATCATAAACGATTTCTTGAGATTAGTAGTGGGTGAGTTTCATGCTTTATGGTTGCAGCTCTGTCTGATCTTCCACATCATAAACGATTTTTTGAGATTAGTAGTAGGTGAATTTCTTTTGTGTCGTGAGTAGTCTGTGACTCTGCAAGTTTTTTGTTGAAAGAGTTTGTTTGGTATTACTGAGTTATAGCCAACACGATGAGTGATTTCCAAATCGTTGGAGGAATCAAGAAACTCAACAACAACAACTACAACACGTGGGCAACATGCATGATGTTCTATTTACATGGACTTGATCTTTGGGAGATCGTTGGCGGGTGCAAAACCACGCCGCCAGAGGAGGATTCTAACGGCGCCTTGTGCAAATGGAGAATCAAAGTAGGAAAAACAATATTTGCCTTGAAGACCACAATCGGAGAAGAGATGTTAGAGCATATTGAGATGACAAGACACCGAAAGAAGCATGGGACACGTTCGTGATGTTGTTTGTTCTCAAAGAAGAACGATGCAAGACTACAACTTCTGGAGAACGAGTTGTTGTCAATTTCACAACGTGACATGACGATTTCTTAGTACTTCTACAAGGTCAAGTCGATCTGTCGGGAGATTACTGAACTAGACACAAAATCCGCAATTAGAGAAGATCGAATGAAGAGGATCATAATCCACGGATTGTGGCCAGAATATCGAAGCTTCATTATTGCTGTACAAGGTGACCCACTCAACCATCACTTGTAAAGTTCAAAAATTTATTAGCCAGCCAAGAAGCCATGGCTAAACAAATGGGAGACATCACATTCAAGGGTGAAGAAGAAGCACTCTACACAAGTAAAAGTCGGAGCAATAATAGGCTATCTATCAAATATGGATACAATGGTGACAAAAGAAGAAGTCACCAAAGAACTGCACAACTAGGGAGAGCTTGGGAGAACGATAGCAATAACTCTCAAGGGAAGAGATTGGAAGGAATTTGCTACAATTGTGGGAAGAAGGGCCACATGTCCTAGAGATTGTTGGTTCAAGAAAAAAATCTTCCGAAAGAAATGTGACATCCTCGAACATGGGGATGGAGGAAGAATGAGATGCAGAGGTATTGTATGCCATAGAAGAAGATGAGCTAGCACTCATGGCGATGATGGGAGACCATATCGATTATGAGAATGATTGGATCGTTGATCCAGGATGCTCAAACCACATGAAGCATTACCAGGCCTCAGAGAATGAAGCATTACCAGGCCTTGAGCAAATTGAAGAAACTCTTCCACAGAAGATGGGGGAGAAAATTAAAGAAATTCTACAATAGAAGATGGGAGGGAAGACAATACACATTTGCTTAAGTGCTGATGTGCCTGAAAATCCAAGTAACACTGATCTTAGTAAGAAAGAAGTGACTCAACCACGCAAACCTGGTGAAAAGAAAATTACACCTCAACGACTAAACGGTCTGAAAGAATCCAGAAGCCAAATCAAAGTATGTCGATATAACTATTATAGATGACGAAGTTAAAGAGCCAGAGACGTATGTAGAAGCATCACAAAATATGACTTGGCAGAAAGCGATGGAGGAAGAAATTATAGCCCTGG